CCCCAAAACCCCAAAACCCCAAAACCCCAAAACCCCAAAACCCCAAAACCCCATATATAATGATTTAGTTGAAGTTAATGGAGTTTTAATGAAATTTTACTGCAGAATTAGCCGGTGATGTTCTCGTCCGCATAGGTGATGTAGAGGAAACCATCCTCATCTTTGTAATCTTGGTATATATCAGTCATTAGAGAGTCTAAAAATGAATTTAGTAGAAGTCCAAGTCAGTATTTTGGGTAAGAGATTAGAGATCAGGCATGATGCAACTTACCATTTTTGAGCAAATATTTGTTATTGACGAAGCAGAAAATACCCTCATTCTCTCCTAGTTGGATCCTCTTCCTGATGATGTAGATGAACTGAAAGGCCGCAAGCTCGTTTGGGACTAGGAACCTAGGAAGAAGAATTATAAGATGTCCTGAGGTTGAATATTCTTAGGATCATTGCATAATACTGATGCAACGTATTTCGAAATAATTCTAATGAAAAGCTAAGAATTGATGAAAGTAGCCAAGAGTTGCACCATGCTTACTTCTCTTTCACTAAATCTGGCAGTTTGCTTTTAGAGTATTTTTCTCAAATGATAGGGATCCTGTCTGGGTATTTCTCCCTCAGTTTTTCTCATTCAGACTTTCTTTTATCTATAAATAATGAGAATAATGATTGCTTTGTGATAAAATAAGTAAGTTTTTGACAGTTTATAGACATTTTTAGTCTTAGACTGGAGAAAGATTGCTATAACAGAATTCCTTGTCTTTATGTAAGAGTAATAAAGTTATTGGATATGAAGATAGTAGATTTGAATGAATCAGAAATTGGTGATTAGAAACCAAGAAAATGATTGCTTTATGTTGATATTTTTATTGGTTGAATTTTACTGAAAACAGAAGAAAATAATGCTCCTCTCACAAAATTGCTTCACATCAAGCTTCCAAATCTAGCAACAAAAGCCATATCATAAAATTCATCCCACCAATCCTATCCTAAAATTCAATCCCATTGCCTTAAAACCTATCAGAACACCCTCAGGATGCCTCTAAACCTTAATTTCCCTAAATTTCTAAAATTTCTCTTTCAAACATCCCCTCTCCCTTCCTTTCCTCTCATAAACCCCTCTCTTCCCCCTCTCTCCGCTCCATACCTAGGTCTTTCTCTTGATACTTGTACATTCCCGGAGATCTATTTATGGTAGAGGATAACAAAATTATAATTAATTTAGCCAACTTTAACCAGTTAAGAAGGGGTTTTGGGGTTTTGGGGTTTTGGGGTTTTGGGGTTTTGGGG